AGAGGTAGAGATTAAGAAAGCTCAGGGGGGTCATTGCACCAAAGTAGGCATCCATGAAGGCCAAGCAGCCCAAGAATATGTCTGAAGTGGAGGGCTCTTTGCGATTGTGGATGAGAATAGCAATGACGAGTAAGTTGGCCGGGATACCCACAATTACATTGATGCACTGCATGGCCAGGTCAAAGAAAATGGCCTCTATCAGGTTTTCGCACCCATCAAACACACTGAAGGATTTTACCGTGCTGTTTATGAATGCTGTGGTATTGAGAGGCAGCTGGGTCAGGGTGGATGTTGAGTTGAGTGATGAATCATTTGTGTCCATGTTTGTGCTACCACAAAAATCAGCAGTCTGATGGGAGAGGAGCAAGAAGGATTATTGAGCTACTTCTGACCAGTCGTAGAAAACAGCAGCTGATACCATTAAAGCCATGAAGTTATTAAAGTGTTTTGGTTTCTTTTACATCTGTGAAGCCACAGCCTGTCTGTTAATTATTATCCCTGCTTCTGCTCTGCTGAGATTCATCTTACAAGTAGAGATAAAGTAGCTCCAGAGACCATTCCCAGACAGTAAAAACATGTCACAAACACCGTCAGAGCCTCTCCTTAGGCTGTTATCTTGTTATTGTGTCTGTGTGGACTCTCCTCTGGGAAACGTGACTCCCCCTAGGAACATGTAACTCACTTAAGAGAGTCATTCTAAAAGCACCACCCTTTCACAGAAGGATAAAAAGGGCAGTGATTGCCAAATTAAAATGGAAAAGGTCATATTCTGTTCAAGATTATTGGAAGTAATGTCAGTGGGAATTTGGTCATTTCTTGGAGCTTTTAAAAGCCCATTTCTGACATTCAGCTCATCTTTAAGCTAGAAGGATGATAACTTGGAAAATGAATTTTATCAAAGGTGGACTGATGGAATAAAAACATTTACAAGCCACAAGTTTAGTTTCTCTGTCTTTGGGTCCTACAAGAAGATTTTTGATGTTTCTTCTGCAGCTTTTTGTGATAAATATCAGGTTTTGTTCTGGGCTTTGGGAATGTTTGCAGCAGCTCGTAGTCAGCTTTATTTGAACAATGTGAAAGTGCAAGAGTTTTCAAATGGAGCACACCTGAGCTACCTCCAGTAATGAACTATTAAAGCCAGAGGCTGTGACTGTTCCTTGCCATCAAGGGAGCTGTTCTGCTATAATACAGACCTTTCTTGAGCTCTGTTCCTTAGTGGGCAATGTTTCTGACGTGCTTCTGCTGCAGGCCACAAACGCTCCGGTGGGACTAATCACAGGAGGAGTAATCTTTGGCAAAGATGCTCGTCCCTGGAAATGTCACAACTAATCAATTGTAGTTTTCTTTGGGCAATCACTGGAAAATGAAGTCTATATTACAGAATTTACAAAGAACACATTTCTGAGGGTTTAATCAGGTGTGGATTACAGCACTGTACTGATGTTGATTTGGATTTTTAAAATTCTGATGAGATGATTTTTGCTGATTATTGTATTGCACTGCATCAAATAATGCATGAAAGCACAGGCTATTAAATGTTTGATTTGGAAATTTGGAACACTTCTGCCATCTTTTATGAAAACTCATATTGTAATTACCCCCCAAAAATCACATGTTTTTTTTTAAATTTCAGATTTGTCCTTTGCAGAATTCTTGTCACTGTAGATATGTTTATATATTTGTTTTTAAATAGAAAACACCTTTTACAGCTAAAATACGCAGAGATGCTACCATTTGTTATTAAATAAAGTCACTCCATGCATAACGAAGATGAAGATGAAGATGTGCGCAATGTCAAGCGAGGAAAAAATAAACAGACCTCTGTCCATTTGTCACTTTGATAATTTCTTGGAACAGAGTTAAACTCTAATCCCTCAAATCTGAATTATTTATCTGTTACTTTAATATATGGTTTATAGAGCATCTGTGCTCCTATCAAGGACACATACTGAGTGAAACAGTTTGATTAGAAACAAACTTCTTGAAATAAAACCCATGTACAAAATCATTTTAAAGCATCTCAATGTTCTACTCACCTGTTTGAATGATTCCTCTAAGCTGAGCAGTAAGTGTGACGCTGAGCGTGTTACAGGTGTTCATTTATAAGTTCTCTGAAGTGTCGTGTATTTGACGCCAACCAGGGGAGGTTCTGTCTGACATCATGAGGGGCTGACTCTTCAGTAGAGAGACTGTTGTGATGAAGAGTTTCTGTATTTTGCTGATATTTTTACATAAGCAAGAAATCTCTGAACTGTGCCAGAGGTTATAGATAAGCTTGCCAGTGTCAATTTGCTTGACAATGAGCATTACGGGACCAGTGTGATGATGCTCTCTGTTCACTGGGAGTGATGAATGCTGTCCTCAATCACTGAACACAAGTGCAAGAGAAAATCAGCAGTCAAGAGCAGATCTAAATTGTGTTTGCTGGGTTTTAATGCATCAGTATTTCACTCATGCAAGAAAAAAATAAAGCCTGTGTGTGTGAGAGTTATGAGTCAGGACGTACTGGGATCGATTGTTTCACAGAGCGGTTAAATTTGAGTCTATGCTAAGTAGAACCCAATGTTCTGTTTCCATGTGAAGACAAGAGGGAAAACCCACAATGATCCAGAAGTGAGGGAGACAGAGAGAGAGAAAAAAGGTGGTGGGATTTATTTGGATTACTTCTTTTTTGACTAGGGGGGCAGCAGAGGATCATTGTACCTGTTTGACAAGCACAGTAGGTTCCCACAAGTAAAACCTGACGCTTATGGTAAATGGCCTGTATTTGTATAGCGCTTTACTTAGTCCCTATGGACGGCAAAGTGATTTGTACTACATACAGTCATCCACCCATTCACACACTGTTGATGGCAAGCTACATTGTAGAAACTGACAGAGGTAAGGCTGCTGGACACTGGCTCCACTGGGCCCTCTGACCACCACCAGTAGGCAACGGGTGAAGTGTCTTGCCCAAGGACACAACGACCGAGACTGTCGGAGTCAGGGCTCAAACCGGCAGCCTTCCGATTACAAGACGTGTGAAATGCTCCTTTAACTTAGTGAAGGCCTTTTGAGCTGCTGTGTCCTACTGAAAAGGGATCTTGGGGGAGGTCAAATGGGTCAAAGGTGAGGCGATTTTACTGAAGTTCCTGATGAATCGGCAATAAAAGTTAGTGAAGACGAGGAACTGTAGGAGCATAAGGCAATCTGTGGGTTCTGGCCATTCCACAACCACTCTAACCTTAGCTGGGTCTGGCTTGAGTTCATTTTGGTCAATTATGTAGCCCAAAAATAACATTTTGCACATGAAATTCACATTTTTCTCCTTTAACAAAAAGTCTGTTCTAAAGCAGCTGCTGGAGGACCTGTCTTACATGGTTACGTGTTCAGTTTCAGTCTTAGAGAAGATTAGAATAATGTCTAAATAGACGAAGATGAAACGGTTGAAAAAGTCCCCGAGTACATCATTAACCAACGTCTGGAAGACGTTAGCCCAAACGGCATCACAAGGTACTCAAAGTGACCGAGATGTGTGTTAAAGGCTGTCTTCCATTTGTCAACCACACGGATTCTAAACAAGTGATATGAATTAACGACTCGAAGGCCCGTAAGCCCCAGGAGCGGTTTGATTGCCCAATCATACATCCTGTGGGGGTATAATGCCCGCACTCAGTCTTTACGAAACACTTTTGCCATGTCGTGATAGACCGATGGCACCAGAGAAAGATCTGGGGGTTCTGAGACTGGTGGCAATTTGAATGCTGAAGCGGGGGGGAGTGGCAGATTTAAGACAGTCCACTTGGCACTCCCCCCACCCAGATGCGCACGTCTTCTTCCAATTAATATGAGGGTTATGTTGTTGCAACCAAGGGTGACCTAAAACAAACGGTGTTTGAGGAGCTTGAAATACAAAAAAAAATCTGATGGTTTCTGAATGGTTTCCAGATATGGGTGATGTCTGGCAGGTGCTTTATTGACAGAGTGGAAATCTGGAGTGA